AACTTTATTTTAATATAAAAATAAAAATTATTTCTTATTAAAATTATAAATTTTTATACAGAGAGAAAATTTCAATTTTTACTATGTTTTATTAGTAAATTTAGCCCCTGAGTCATTACTTTTGGTCACTACTGTATACGAGTAAAAATATTTATCTTATAGAAAAAAAATATAATATTACTAATCTTAAGTATTAATTATAATATAAATAATATAATAATTTTACTAATACTTATATAAAATACTTTTAAAATAATTACAGATTACTTGACTATTAATAAAATACTTTATTTTATTAAATTATTATTATAGATTACTTATTAGATTAATATTCTTTAGTATTATTAATATAAAAATATTTTAATATTGTCTTTTTATTATAGATTTCTATAAAGAATAAAAAAGAATTAGCTACAAGTCTTTATTAATAAATTTAATATTTATTATATTATTTATACAAGATTATATTCTTCTTTTAATTTTTTATAACTAGCTTTATTAATATATAAAATAATAATTATAAAATTAATATAATAAAATTTCATTATTATAATAATAAATTTTTATATATAACTATATAATTATTTATTTTTACTTATAAGTATTTTTTATAATAAAATAAATAATGATAAAAAAATTATATATATAGTTATTATAAAAAGTAATATTTGATTTATATATATAATAATATGATAAATATATAAATATATATATTACATTTTCTTATTTTTTATTATTGTTAATCCTAAATTTTTTATTATTTTCTAAATATATAATAGATAAAATTTTTTAGATATAAATATAAAATCTATTATATTAATAAATTATCTTTAAAAAAAATAAAAATAGTATATTTTTATTAAAGTTATGAGTATCAAGCAAAGTTATAATAAAAATGTAATATAATCTGATAAGAATATAATAATCTCTTGTAAAATATAAAAGAAATAGGAAAAACAAAAATTTATCACTATCTGAGAGATTATAAGCTCATAACTATCAAGAAAAGCTGCATATATACAAAAAATAAAAAAGATATTCTAAGCTATTTCATGATATTAGTAATAAAAAATCTGTGCAAAACTTATCTGAAGATTCTTTAAGATATTTGATTCCTTTTCATAATATAATTAGTTCATTGTAACTTACTTGATATTGATTTATTCTATTTGTATTTATTTTATTTTTTTTCTAATATTAATCAAGTTTTATTTTTTTTGAATATAATGGTCTCTTGTTAAGTACAAAAGAGATGAGACAAATAAAAATTTATCACTTTCTGAAAGATCATAAACTTTTAAAAATAAAGAAAAAAAATGCATCTCTACAAGAAGCCAAAAAAAGATATTCTGAGTCATTTCACAATATCAATAATAAAAAATTTGTGCAAGAGCTTATCTAAAGATCTTTAAGTAATTTGATCCCTTTTCATAACATAATTTGTTTATTGATTTGAGAGAGCATGATGTTTCAAAAAAATAAAACTTGATTTACATTAGGGAAAGAAGCCATGAACAGAATTAAATAGAGAAATCAATGAATATTGTATTATCGCAACTTTAACTTCATAGAAATGTCTGCAAGTCATTGGGGAACAATGTTCAAAAGTACAAAAGCTTCCCAAGGATCGCGAAAAAGCTCAAGATTACTCAGAAGGAAATTTGATGTGTTGGCTTTTGAGACTCAATGTCTTGAGAAATCAAAGCAACATTAGAGTCATATGAAGAGTTAATAATGTATTAATTAGTGGTAAAAAAATATTTTTATATTTATAGGACAGAAATAAGATAAATCCGAAATTTTATTTTTAAAAAACCAGGCGTTACTTTTTGTGGCGACTGTACATGTAATTTTTTGTTCATAAAGTGGATAATAAAACAAACAAATACATTGACTTGAGTATTTTAGATCAATCTTTTTATGAAGGAATAAATCATTGAATCGCTGACTCAAACTGTTAAAAATTTATAGAACAAATTGAATATAATATAACAATAGTGGCCGTCTGAAAGCACCATATGTCTCGCTTAAACTGTATCTTTCGTAATACATAATGCATAAAAAGCACATGTATAATCAACACTAATACATGTAATATATTACGTGTTATTTTCAATAATTTCAAAACACAGAGAAAAATAAACTTAATAGCACGCTTGAATTACAGAGGCAACTTTAAAGTAATATTTTTCAATCCTTTATATATTCAATTGAAACTAAGCCAAAATGTCAGGTCAAGTTATAAAACTAGCACCTTAAAGAAATAACTAATATAAAAAACTCGACCAATGTCATACATACTACCTACCATAGCAATGAGCTCTAATAAAAGCTTTCACCGCGCAATGGTATGAGAAATGAGAAATAAACATGAGAAAAATATGGGAATGAAGTACGCTACACCGATACATATTTCATAATTTTCTACGTCATATATGCATGATATTAAGTGGCCTATGGGTGGAAACATTCTCAAAATAATGTATGCCATGTCCATAATATACTTTATTCTGAAATAATTTATAGTATAATAATTATAATAATAAAAGCATTATCGCAAATATATAATATAGGGTTTCAAAACAATTAATCTTAAAATTTCAAATCTTTTCAATATTATTTCATAAAATCATTAAAATAATAATGAATCAATTCAAAAATTGGTCATTTTTAGCAATTCAGCTTAAACGAACTAGTCTTGTGTACAAAAGAGCTCGGTCCTTCTGTACCTCCGATGACAAATCCACCATCGGCAACTTGTGCGGCTTGGAAAACCAAAGCGTTTCCACAAGTGGTATCGGTAGACAAACCAGCAAAGCTGAATCCGTTTCCAAAGAACGACGCAGTACTAATTTTGTTAACATTGTAACACCCACTACTTGTAGCTCGAAAAACTTCTTTGGAATTGTTATCGTAAAAGATGAATTTACATCCGGAAACGATATCTGACATTAGAAAACACAATAATAAGCTTATGTATGATTTATTCATTGAGAAAAATGACAGATGTGTTCTGTTAAAAAAAAGTTAATGTTAAAAAGAGGAAAACAATATACTTGTATTTTTTATAAAAATTCTGTTAATAGCGATGGACGTTATTTATAAAAAAAAAGAAATGCTGCCAAAATTCTTCATATACTTTTTTGGGACAGTCATTTATCGGATAATAGATTGTCTACATGTATAAACGATCTGCATTAATGACGATCAACTAACACATAAATGGAAGTTAATTAATGATTTTTTAACGCCAGATGCATAATGATACGATGACAACTTCTTCAAATATCAAAACTGGAATGTAAACAAAGAGATTGAATTGCGCATACAAACGGAAGTTCTATAAATCGATTGGATATCTCTTCTTTGGTAAAAAATTTAGCAATCACCTCACCCTCATTAATGATATTAATGCATTTAATATTGCAGGACTTTTGTTTATATTTGTGCACCATATTGGGCAATAAACCCGGCTAATGCTCTAATAATAATAGTAGCTGATTGAACTGATCAAGTCATAAAATAATCCTTTCTTCGGGCACAATAACTTAAAGAAGACATACAATATCAGCTTCTGAAAAATAAAAGGCAGACATAGAATTAACCATTCTCTGCTAGTGTGTGAATTAGGTACGTGATTATGCAAATGCTCATTGTGACTAGTACAGCCTGTCCATATTTCTCACCTAGAGGCTAATAGCATTTCCCAATCCAAGACATGGAATACTTACTATACACCATAAACCATCTAAAGAGACATTAGAAACAAAATTTATTACTAGCATTATACCGCAATGATCCAAAATAAATGTGACGAGTCTGTTAAGAATTCAAATAAAGATGATTGAACATTTTATTATACATTAATAGTCAAGCCTATTTTAGCTAATCTAGGGAAGGATAACTGTTATTTTAAATTGATCAATCAGATCGCAGGATTTATATTCTTCACATCAATATTTATTCAATATGTAAGATATTGTTATTATTTATAAAATTGTCATATTGACAATATATTTGAGTTTGATTATACTGTCATAATATAAATAAGCAAATAATTTTTATAGATTTATAAATGGTTTACTTATAAACTTACCTCAATATTTTAGCATTAAACATCAGTTGCTACATTAATCCAGATGCGATTCGCGTATGTTATTCCAAACGTCAAAGTTTAAACTTTATGAATCCTTGACATATAGATATTTTGTCTTGTACAAAATAGATTAGGCCATGTATCAATCTTAACTGGATTTTGTATTAAACAATTGAATTTTAAAATATTATTGTAAGTTTATAGATCTACATATAAAATAAGATCAATTGGAAATTAATTTTTTCGTCATACATGTACTAAACTTATGATGCTTAAAATACTTTTAATTATTAGTTTGATATAAAAACCAAATGGTGATTCATCTTTTTTGTTTGAACCATACGTACAGTAGCAGCCGACCCCTTATAACTTTTATATTAAAAAATTTTTTGTTTTAAACTTTTTGAAATAATTAAAATTACTATATTAAAATTTAAAAAAGCTTAAATTTTAATATATTTAAATTTAATTATTTTTTATTACATTTGATTAATATTTTTTTATTTATGTAAAAAATTGATTTTAAATTTCAGTTCTCATTTTAAATTTTGTTATGATAATTATAAAATTATAAAAAAACTCATAGGATCTAGATTTATATTATATTATCTATGCTGAAAATTTCAAGACAATTAATCTTCAATCTAAAAAGTCACAAGGGTCGATACTTTTGGCCGCTACTATATATATAAAATCCATGGAATTTCCTATATTTTTGATTTCTTTGACCTCATTGATCACTATATAAAAACTCTATTTAATTAAAAAAATTCATAAAAATTTATTGCAAGTCTAAGTTTTATTTGAATCTATTAAGTAAAATACATTGACTTTTGAATTTCTGTTTTCCGTGAATTATTTTTATTGAATTTTTTGATTTCTTCATAAGTTCAAACATTATTCTTTTAGAAGATGATTTTATATCTACAGATATATTTGGTGGAATTAATAATATTCATCAAACCATTGACATGGTGAGAATAACATCATCAAATTTTATTTACAATAACTGATAATTCTTGATACATTATGTATTATTTCAAGTTTCTTATCCCTATTATAATCCTAGTAATGTCAACAAATACATACCTTTAGAAGAACCTGTTAACAGCCAGAAATTTCAATTGTTAAAGAATTGAGTTTCGATAATCAACTTTATCACAAATCAAAAGTCTAATAATGTGACAAGTTTTATTAGACTTTTAGAGATAATTAACTTCTAGACAATTCGAAATTCTTGTTCTTTTATAAATAATGAAAAGAAATTATTATGTAATGAAAATTCAATAAGTTTAATTGTCTTATGAATCACGTATAGTACAAAGTATGCGAATGTTCTTAACATGATCGAAATCTAGTGATTGTGGAGCAGAACTCTGACTATTAGATAGTTACAAGGTTAAAGAATTAATATTGATACTATAAGGTAAGAATTTAATGTATTAATTATAAATTATTCCAGAAACTTCCGTAATCACGAGACTTTATGTTGCGGCAACAGTATGTTCATCCCCATAAGTTCACATCGTTACTTCATCGACCAAACCAGACCGAATTTGGAGTAGCGTCTCATTCCTCCATGAAATGTTCTAATTCGTCAAAATTTTTTTTGGTAATCACTTTTCTACTTTTCTTTTAAAAATATTTAGGTTGGACTGTTACACGGCCAGTCAATAACTTCAGACATATTGTCTTGAAGAAATTTCGTCGCTACGCCAATTGTTACCGGCATTTTTCGAATTTCTTCAATGTGTTGCTGAAAAATTTCAACATAAAAAGTAATAGTCATAATTTGACGAAAACACTTCACATAAAATCCACCCCATTCCGAATTGTCATTAAGATGATTTTTAGCCTGCTCGACGCGTCTTCCTTTATGAGCATCGGTAAGATTGGGATAGCTGCTCAATTTTTTTATAATTCTAGATTTCCATATGTTTCAAACCAGCTAGATGAGATAGATTGGTACCTTTTTTTAGTAATTTTGTAGATGTTGTTCGAGAGGAAATAAAGGAGTCCCGCCTAACATACTGACCGATCGATTTGACGCATTCCACTGTAATTTTTTCGGACGCCCGTTATCTTTTCGATGTTCACCGCTACCTGTTTCCTTTAACTTTTTAATATTGTAATTAATAATTGGTGAACGTAGCTTTTTTGGAGAATGTAAACCAATGTAAAAAACCTTGACGTCCGTTTTCTATTACGTGAAGACATTTAATATCGTTTTTAGAATGAACGAACAACGAAAAAATTATTTAGTGTCACAGTGTTACTATAATGGGAGAAATTCTAATTTTATAACCTTACCAAAATGGGGGGGGGGAGCGGTTAAAGCGTAGTCCATCACGTGAGCCTAGTGGCTGATGTAGAATGATAATCATAAATCATACATCACATTGTCAATTGTCAACAAGAGCTTCGTTCTGTGTGTGTGTGTGTACGTGAGAGTGTGTGAGTTTGCCATTGTGCTGAACAAAAATAAACTTTCCTACTTCCTTATTATTTTATTCACTATAGTAAATTCTTCTCCCCCTTCTTCATTTCTTACTACTCACTAATCATCCACTATGCTATTCACCACTCTGCGCTCGCTAACAAGTCTGCACTATTTTTGTATTGATGTTTGCTTCTTAAAATACTTCAGGCTACAAAATTAAATGTAAGTTTTTTATAAAAAAAGTATTCTAACTATATAAATGACATGCTAAATTCGATATTATGATCATATGATGGGTGATTCATAGGCGATAATATTCATTTTTACAAAAAATGAACAAAATAACGAAGACCCAGATCAGTGAATTGGGGTGGAAGTTGAATAATAGTAATTATATGATTATGTGAAATGAAGAAATAAGATGGATCACTCATATAAAGTAATTCATTAAGCTATGCTTTATTGAAGAGAATTATGAATTTAGAAATAATTATTAAAATATAATAATATTTAAAGTATATTCTATACACTTTCAATTAATGTAACAAGTGGTTGTGATTCTCCATTGGATGTGCATAATTATAATAAAATTAAATTGCATTATTTACTTAAATAATTATAAATACTTAAAAGAAAAAATAATTGTTATAATACAAACAATTATGCTTAAAATGAAACTAATTATTATAAATAAAATTATAAAAGCATAAAATAAAAATTAATTATTAAAAAAATATTGTTCAAATTAAGAGAGACTATAAATTTATTCTTAGATTTTCAATAAATAATATCATTTATTCAATATCTTCTCTTTTTTAATCCTTCAATAAAAATTACATATTCTCTCTATTAACTTATTTATAGTTTATCATCAATTCTCTACTATTTTTTCAGGTTTCTTCAATATCTGAACTCTTAAAAGCTTATTATAATACTTATAAATTTTGAATTTATTCTCTTTAAAAATTTGTTAAAATTGACTTCAGTTATTAATAATTAAAAGTTTTCTGGTGTTATATATATATTTGTGAAAGATATATTAATAGGATATTCAATATTTATGAAAAAATAAATAATGATAGTTAGATAATATTAATCCAGATATAACTTTATCTTTTTTCATTTTTTTTTATAATATAAATTTTACCAATAATTTTTTATTATATTAGAAATAAAAACTTATAAATTTCTTCAAGTATTTCATAATTGATATTAATAATCAAAACTTTTTTAATACAAAACTCAAATATAACATATTTAATATCTGATTACTTTTCATATTGAGTTTAATAACTTGATTATATATATCTAAAAAAATAATCATTAGCAAAAATTAATAAAAGCAAAAAGTTGATAACATAATTATATAACAAGATGTAATTATTTAATAAAATATAATTAAATAATAAATATAAT